TTAATCCCCAAGGCATCCAAAATTTAGGAGTACCCCCCCCCCCCTCGGTCCCCCTACCCCCCGGTGTTTACCATCGGGGTTGGGTTTTCGTCGCTTGGCAACGACGTTGTAAAACAAGCCGCCCCCCCCGGTGTTTGCCATCGGGATTGGGTTTTCGTCGCTTGGCAACAAAAAGAACGTTGTAAAACAAGCCAATTCACTTCGTCAACTCGGCAACCAGGTTTTTTTTTTTTTTTTTTACCTCTGGTGTTTTTTTGTTGCGGTAACCATAATGGTGGTCGAGTAGATCATGTTGTGCGGGGTGGAGAACCTTAGCTCCGCGCAAGGGGGATAATCGCACCACGTTGTGTTAAAATGGTCAAGCATCCTCGAGGCAGTTACACAATGCTTACAACTGTCTCTGGAAGTGAAAGCACCAGAAAATAAATTAAGTCATATGCAGCTGTCATCCGTACGCAAGGAAGTAAGCACAAGATGCCGAACACCCTTAGCAGGATGCAGCTCACCCTTCATGCGACTCGCCAGATACCTCACGGCGCTTCGCGCTTGGTGATGTGAGAGCCTGGTCCGGTGAGAACCCGGCGTGCTCCGTCCCGGCTTTGTAGGGATGCGAGGTCAATGGTCTAACGACTACGGCATGCACGACTATGAGTACACCCGCCCCCCCTCGGTCGCACTTCCTACACCCTCTTGGGGAACCGGCCACCCCCGCAAACCCGCGACCCCTCCCCTCCCCTCTCGTCTTCGCTGCTACTGTACTGTACCTCTACAACTTCTAACACATGTGTATAGCTAGCCGGTCGGACCCGTGTAAATTATGGTATTATGCTTACGGATAGCGAGAGTGTTGGAAACAGCGCGCCTTCTTTCCTGTGAGACCGCGATCGAGACAGAGAGAGACAGAGAGAGACAGAGAGACAGAGACGAGGCTCACGTGAGTGGTGATGTACATTACCGCCTCCCCCTCCGGAGACTGCGAGGTCAATGGTCTAACGACTACGGCATGCACGACTATGAGTACACCCCCCCCCCCCCCTCCGGAGACGTGGAGACGTTTGTTTAAGGGTACGTGTGTGTGATTGTCGTCGCCCGTGCAACCGTGCACCCAGGTGCTTCTACGCTGTGGGTAGTTGGTTGGGTTGCCCACAGACTGCAGACGGACTGTCATCTCTGCTGGCTTTTAAGAAACAGCCTAGTGTTTCATGGAAAAGCTTGTCTTGTGTGCGAGGTGCTTGCCCTTGCGCAAGCTTCTGCTGGCAGTTGCCGCCGCGGTCCACAAGATATTTTTTCCGAGAGAAAAAATCGTCTTCGGAGATGAAAGACACCACAGTTTTTTTCCAAGTTGCGACGAAAAGGAGCATCCGAGAGAAAAAGTTGTGCGTTTGACGTTGAAGTAGAACACAGCATGTGTGATGGGCGTATTGAGTCATTTTAGATGTGACACCTATGAACTCCCCCCCCCAAAAAATACTGCCATGCCCGTGACCGTTCCCCCTCGGAAAAACCACTACACAAAAAAACGCGAACAACATTTTCACCGCCCGCGAACCCGAAATGCGCGCCGTTCTCTCGTCAGGGCTACCGGTCCACCGAGCACGTGCCGCTCCACTTCACGACGCCGACCGCCCGCGAGAAGCCCCGCAAGAAGGGCGTCTTGGTGATCGGGGAGGTTCTCGCAGTCACCGTCGGGGGCGTAGCCATGGCGACGGCGGCGATCATGGCGGCTCGCGATCAGATCGGGGCGAGCCCCTAAGGGTTGAAGTGGGCGGCGGGGGGCAGGCGGGGGGCAGGCGGGGGGCGCGATTTTCCCGACGGGTCTGGCGTCGTCGTCCGTCGTCGTCATGCCGGGGCTCTTGGGGAGGGGGGGGGGGGGGGGGC